TGCACACTAAAAAGGCTATCTATCTTAAGAGTGTCACTAAACAAAGGAGTGATCACGCAGGAGGTTGGCAGTTACGATACATGATCGACAGATTGACCTGCGTCATTGTTAAACTTGAACCAAATATACACTCTCCAATGTAGTATGGCATAAACAGAACAGAAGCGACAGACTTGCTGTATTTCACCGTAACAATACCCAATTTCAAAAAGTATTTGATATTATAATAGTATGAGTTTACAAATACCAATAGTTCTATTTTGTTTCACTTTTAGTTTTTTTAATTATTAGTAAGAGATTGTAAAGATATTAAAATAATTAGAATAAAACACTAATTTATTATTTTATTGTTTCACTTTATATTATATGCATATAATCTCTGGAGGATCAATAAGATTATATGTACTATTTTAGACTTGTATTTCTATTTTATTTATTTATATTAGGAAAATCTGTATAAGAAAACACTTTTTCTTTTGAAAATAACAGAGTTGTCTAGTTTTTCTTATATTTAATAAAGTTTTTCTTTATTAATTATAAACAATGTCTTGTTTATGACTTCTTTAATATTTCATATTACATGTTATAATATGGAATATTACATTTGGTAATAGTGGATGCTTCTTTTATCTCATCTTTTTTTTGAAATTCCTTCTTGTTTTTTTTTCTTTTTGCTTCTTTTCTTAAGGAAAACACTTTTTGCTATTTTTCTTGGATAATTTTCTTTTATTTTCATCGCTCTTCTCTTCCCAAGTCTCACAAAGGTTTATCCAAGATTACACATGATCGGCTAAGGTATACGAAAGTTACGTAAGGTGAACTTAAGATCATTATGAAGGTCATCACAAGAGCTATACAAAAGGATCATCAAGGTATATCGAAGGTTACACAACAGATCAAAGGAAAGATCATGTTTCAAGAATTTATCAAGTGACACAAAAAGGATTTGCAAGGTTATATAAGGTTTTACATATAAAAAATAGAAGTTTCTCAAGGTTTTTTTTAAAAAGAACTCACTAAAAATTCGCCAAAGAATCTATGAAGGTTCCACGAAGATAGCACAAAAATCTTACAAAGGTTATGCATAGGATCTATACCAGGATTGCTATTCATAAGAATAAAATATTATTATTTGCTTAAGTAATTTTATAAATCCACTATATAGCTGTCGACAATCTTATATATGCTGATTAAGGACTAGTCAATCATGTAACACCTAGGTTTCACCTATCTGTAAAATGATGTTTGAGGCTATGGTATTTTATGAAATTACAAAAGTGATTAATATTATTTTATAATTGATTGCTTTATATATATTAGTGTTATACATATTTTTTTTGTATAAGTATATCCAACTGTATAAGGAATCTTGTGATTTGAAAATTCTGAAATTGATATTAGTGTGACAACAAGGGTCCACTGAGCATCATTACATTGTCACTTTGTTTCTGGTTTACAGAGCATCACAGTGATTTGATACAGCATTAATACAAAACAATACAAAACACAACAACTTTATTCATTCTCTGATACTTCTATATCTGGAGGAGGACTCTCATCCTTAGGTACAGGATTAGAAAGATTGTTATTAGGAATACATTACTCAAAATTGTTAGGATCTTGTCCAGAAGCTGCACCAGAATTCATGAAGGCACAGGTTTTATTCAACACCTACTTGAAAGAACTTTCTTTGGTATTTACAACTTAAGGAATCAACCACTTGCTGAGAACTTTCTCAAACTCTTTTTCTATTCCCACTTTTAACTTATCCATATGGTTACATAAGGAGATTATCTCTTGTTTCAAGGCTTCTTCCTGAATTAACCTACAATGAAGTCTATTCTCCAAGAGAATCTTGATCCTCTGTGCATATTTGGTTATCACTTTTTAATCTTTTATCCTGACAGTAGACAGGATTTTGCTTATGCTCTTCATATTGGATATGCAGTTTGGAAATCTTCTCTTGAAGTTTTGTCAATTGCTTTAACAACTTCATCAAAAGTTCTTAATATTCAGGATAGTCACGGACAGCAATAGACCAAAAAAAAATCTTTATTTGTTCTTGAAGAATAATGATGCAACCAATCACATTTAGGTGTTAGGCAACACGGATCATTCTGTTGGTGCGAGATATTTTTTTTGAAGTTTTTTGATATAATTATTGATGAATTATTAAAAAAATTTTTCATCAGGACACTGTGCAATAAATACAAAAATTCTTGAAATTTTTGTGTCAATTAACAATTTTTGAAATAATTGGAAAAGGCTACAACACATAATTACAACAATACAATATATAGCAATGATAACATATGCCAATACAATGACAATAACAACACATGGTAATAACAATTGGAATGTATATAACACATGGTAATAACAATTGGAATGTGTACAACACATGGCAATAATGAAAAACAGAAATGTAGATCAATAATAAAACTTGTTAAATTGGGATTAACTATGACCTGCAGGATATAACAATCAAATTTGTAACAATATGATGCAACAAATATGGAATTTTAATTGATAAGAAGAAACTAATAAATGACACTCTCACTAATGAATTGCTTCATAGGTATTTTGAAGGCTTAGGATGAAATATAAATAATTGTATTACGTGACACGAAAGCACAATACTACAAGGTATTATGAAGAATACCAAGAGTAAATGACAAACTGGAAAATAGAATCACGAACGTTACACAATGTACTATAACATACACTACACAAAGGTATAACATCATACAGGTTTGAAACAAAGGTTGGGTCAATAGACACGAATCTAAACCCCATGGTATAAGTCTAAACAGCATTTTAATATAGGATTTGATTGTAAGGCTGGGCGTAGCATCAATCTTTGAATAGATAAATACCATCTGGCATTTCAATTCATGGAACGTAACACGACTATACTACACACTGTACTAGGACGGACGACATACATAACAGGGAACGTAGTACAAAGCTCTGGATGACACTGTAACACGAGGTTACTACCAGGCCGCCAGAACGCTGCCATATGCTCTGGATACTGTCGGAACGAGAGGTTGTCACAATACTGCTGGAAGAATGACACTAGCTCAGAACACCACTGGAACACGCTGATATCGACGTAACACAGGATTGACATCACATCGCCAAAATGACGCTATATGTGCTGGACGCCGCAGCAATACAGAATTGCCGCCACACTGCTGGGATGCTGCAGTATAGCAGTGTACAAGATGCTACAACATGATACCACGGCATTGAATGACACCGCATGATGCCGTATAATACGAAGTAATAATGCCGCAACACTGAATGCTACTATAAAACATATTATAGTTCCTGGCGAAAAGAATGATGGTGAAAATTCTTTTTTTTTTTTTGCTATTTTTCTGATTTTGATTATTGTTTATATTACCAATTAGGAAAATCAAATGTTATTTTAATAAACAGAATATAAACAATGACGTTTAATATTGTTTATATCCTGTTTATAGAATTCAAAATGGTATTAATGCATCTTGAAATACAACAAAATATCGTTAAGTCACTTTGGCAACAAAATATTCGCAATTCAAGGAAAATTTCTTAACAATTTGAAATTCCTCTACGTTCTTGTGAACAGTATACCAGTTTATTAAATAAAACTGGTAAGATTCCTATTGGTCATTCTTTTGGTCATCCAAGAAAATTAACTGCTAAAAAACGTTGTTACATCGAAAAAATTTTAAAACACAACTACTTTACTACAGCAAATAAACTTAAAGTCAAATTAGAAAAAAATAATTCTGAGCTTGAAGTTAGTGAACGTACTATACTCGTGAACTTAAAAACCTTGGTTTTGTTTCTATTATTCCAAAAAAAGTTCCTCTTTTAACTCAGCAAGCAAAAAACTGTCACTTATTTTAGGCATGTAAATATTTACTATTTGACTGGCGAAAAGTTATTTTTTCTGAAAAGCAACAATCCAAATATTCAGTAATACTTTTCATGCATGGTCTCATAATATAAAACCTATTGCACCTATGGTAAAGCATCTATATAAAGTTCATATTTGGGTAGCGATCAGTATGAAAGGAAAAACTGGAATGCATTTATTTACCGAAAACCTGAATTGCCATTTGTATCGAAAAATATTAACCAAACATTTATATGACAATGCAAATAAATTATATGGTCATAATTGGATCTTTCAATTAGATAATGATCAAAACATATTTCATATGATGTTTAAAATGATTTAAAAAATCATCTTTCAAAATGTGTTCTCCCTTGGTCTTCATATAGTCCAGATATGAATCCAATTGAAAATGTATAGGTCATATTAAAAAAAAAAGTAGAGAGAAGGATTAAAGATATGATAGTAAAAAAAAAAAATTTCACGAAAACTTTTTCTTAATATAATTAGGCAAAAATGTGATAACCTTGATGATAGTGTATTACTTCGAAGTATTAATAGTATGCGAGATCAAATTAAAGCATGCATTAGTGCAGTAGAAGGTTATACAAAATATTAAACCTATAATAAAAAATATAATGTTAGATATTGTCTTTGTATATAAAAAAAATAAACTTTTATTATTAATAAATTATGTATATAATCTTAAAAATCCATCTGCTATTTTTTCACTGAGAACTGTAGATTAAATGCCACGACATAATACACTGCCACATAACATGCTGCAAGACAAGACGCCACCACATAGCACTGTACAACAGTCCATATCGATGCCACAGTAAAAGATATCACCATTTTCATAATATCACTAGCCACCGCAATGATAGCCAATAGCCACAGTGTACCACTGCCATTGTTAATATATCATAATCACCACTGCCACCAACCATAGTGCGTCACAACAATTTCAGCCGCCGCTACCAGCCACAATGCGCCACCGCAACTTTTGCCACATAATATGCTATTACAACCGCCACCATATGCCGCATGAAAACACCAGTTACGTAAATTGTGCTGCAACGTTATACAAAGCGTATAATGTAATAATACTATCAAAACGCAAAGCAAAATGCTGCCAAGACCAAAGTAATGCCACACAACGTAACACAGATGATGCCACAGTAAGCTACAAGCATCCAAAGCTAACGCCACTAGCCATAGTATACGATGCCACACTAGTCACACTTTTTTTATAAGCCGGCTCTTTGTCTAATTATGACAAAATGTCCAAAAATTTTTTTTGAGATTATTGAGAACAATGATTTCTTAATGAGGGGAAAATATTACAATACTATTGGCGAAGTGAGTAACACAAGGTGTGTTACACAAGTGGCACAAACAAGCTAATGGAAGGAGCAACACTCTGAAAATACAAGTGCCTAATCTTTGTTTCTTTAGAACATCATCAGCAAAATAAATAGGGTGATATGTATCAATTAATAACACCCTGAATACATATTGATGATAATCCCCTTGCCAATTATTATCAATTTAAATAAAAATCGATATGTATCGAGATTTATTAATTTTGATTTAAAATTTTAAAAAATATATTTGTATCAGGGTATATTGATTTTAATTTAAAATTTTAAAATATCGATTTTTTTTTTTTTTTTTTTCGGGTGAAAGATGCTTTGTGCATATGCGTTTTATTGAGTAGTTTATGTCCAATTACAG